ATTTGAACACTGACTTAACTATTGTTGATATCCATAAAGTTTGAATGTACTTTTTTTTAACAAGAGATGCTAGAAAAATCGTGAAGCTTTACATTATTATTATTATTATTATTATTATTATTATTATTATTATTATTATTATTATTATTATTGTTGTTTTAATTTTTTCATCAGTCAAATGGCCAAATTCTAAGAAAAGTTTAATTTGCTTTGGGACAGTTTGTTATTTGCATAATAAATAGCAATATGCCACTGACTTTAACAGATTTCATTTTTATAACAAATGATGTGATAAATTTGCATTTTAAAAATAAATACTTTTTCATATTTCTTTATCCTACATTTTTAGGAAATAATTTTGGTACATCAAAAAATGTGATTTCATCCAACAAGCTAATGCAGCTTAAAATGTCACTAAAATGCAGTATTTAAATCCCATAATTAAATAGAAAATTAGGCATATAACTGCAAAAATGTATAATTTTTGAGAAACGAGAACCACCCTTTTCACCAGGCTGGCTACGGACCTGTTTGCATTTGCATTACAGCCCTGTAAACTGTTTGCATTACAGCCCTGTAAAAATTCAGATACGCGAACCGCCCCAGTCCTGTTGATTAGCAATATGAGCGAGTCATTGAATCTTTCAACCGATTCCCACATCAACGGCTCATTCTGGATTTGAACACATCTTGCTCGGGGATACGCTTTGATTGTTGACAGGCCAAATGTCCTGAAATGTAAGTTACCAATTCACTTATATAATTAGTATACTATATAAACATCACAAGTTAAACTGTTAAGTAGGCCTTGTTATTTGAATGGCAGTGATTAATGCATGGCCGTGCCGATCAGGCGTTCAAAAACATTTTACTTAGGCCTACAGTATTCTCTATTTGAGCTAAATTTGTTTGTAGCAGGTAACAAACGTTGGGCTACCTTATTTTCTCCTCTCCTGGCGTCAGTGTTGTGTGCTGAAGCTGAACTGGCATATTGTGTTTTGGTAAATGAAATCTTCATTAACGATCTTAATTAGCGTTCGATCTCCCAAACAGTAAACGGACAGAAAATCTATCTAGGAGTGGTGAAAGGCTCTCGAAAAGAGAAACGGGGCACGTGGCAGAGGGATTCTCAATTAATTCATTGGCAATTTGAAAGTTTAATTAACAGTAATGTTGAAAGAATTGATAACAATTATGTTAATAGAAAACATTCAGAGGAAAATCTAAGAATATGATTCTTGCTGATTATATGTACGCTGCTGCCATCTAACGGACACTATAGGAACAGTCCGAGAAATTTTTTATTTTTATTTTAAATGGTTGTCCATTTCACACATTATTTAATGTAGTTAACGGTGACAGATTTTTCATTTCTAGAAAGTAGGAGTGTTTTGTGTTGTTCCAAACCGATTTTTTTTGCTTCTTAAGAAGACAAAGAAATATTTTTGTATCAGGTTCTGTCAAATGTAACGTAACATTTCAAAACGTTCGTAAAGAGATGGAAAAAAATCCATATAAACTGTACTGTTTAATTTAAGTTTTAATAAGGGACGCAAGAAGGTTTGAGATTATTTATGTTCTCTGGTCTGTGTTTATTTGTAAACAACTAAAAGTAGGCTAAATAAATCTGTCAGTCATGGAAAATGGAAAGATTTCTCAGAAGAATAAATTAAACAGCTTAAATGTTTTTGATCAATCTATGAACATTTTGAGAGACAAACTTAGTTTTCATAAGTAATGTATATCTTCTTCTTCTTTCTTGTCTTTGGCCTTTGTCCCGTATGATTACAGGGTCGGCTCTTTTTGGAACAAGTCCATATGATAACGACTTTTTTACACCTTTCGGCCGGCCTGTCATATGGACCTGTCACACACTCGTACACTACGGACAATTTAGCTTACCCAATTCACCTTTAGCATGTCTTTGGACTGTGGGGGAAACCGGAGTACTTGGAGGAACGCAGGGAGAACATGCAAACTCACAGAAATGCCAACTGAGCCGAGGTTCGAACCAGAGACCTTCTTCCTGTGAGGCGAACATGCTACCCACTCTGCCACTGCTATCTATCTATCTATCTATCTATCTATCTATCTATCTATCTATCTATCTATCTATCTATCTATCTATCTATCTATCTATCTATCTATCTATCTATCTATCTATCTATCTATCTATCTATCTATTTATCTATCTATACTATATTATACTATGTTCAAACATGTATGAAACTTGCGCATATACATATAAACTTGATGCATGCATATACCCACCACATATATATAAACTTGATTCTTGCATACACCCAAATTAACACACACATTAAAAAAAATATATCGGTATCGATATCTGAATTATATTTTATTGACCGAAATTAAGAAATATATCGTGATATAATTTTTTGCCATATCATTCAACCCTAGAAAGACATAAGACTGAGTAAATAATGATATATATATATATATATATCTATATATATATATATATATATATATATATATATATATATATATATATATATATATATATATATATATATATATACACACACACACACACACACACACACACACATTTTGTGTGTGAACTAACCCTTTAATATCCATAAACCAGACACAGGTCAGATTCTTTTGGCTCCTCGTTTGGCACAAGATAGTGATAGTTGGTGCCCTGTATGCATGCTCAGTAGTTGGATCAAAGAATATCTATTTTTACCATGTAAATATACCAGAATTCATAGATGCATTGATCAGTTATACTCTGTGTTCTTTTGGTTTCATCTTTTAAGTTGTGTGGTGACTCATATTACTCACACAATACTTCGCGGAAGAGGAGTTAAAAAAAAAAAAAGAGTACCAGTAAAGTTCGTTACAGAAGTATTTCCTTGTCGGACAAGCAGCACTGTGTCTGCATTGTTTGCAACAAATGCATTGTTTGCAACAAATATCTATTACCATTATCTAAAAACGTCTAGACCATCTATATTCAACGCTGAAAACTGGACTGACAGTTTCAATTGACTATAATCTTCTAAGTGAAGCTGCTTTGACACAACATACATTGTAAAAGTGCTATAGAAGTAAGGTTGAATTGAATAACTCGTGGCTGTACATGCTGTTTTAAACTTCTAAAACCTTTTCCTACAATTAAAAAAAAAATCTTTTTAATATGTTGAAATCGAATACATTTCAGCTTCTGTGAGGTTGTACTCCAGCATATGTTGTACTTACTGTCTTGTAATGTTCCGTTTTTGTAAAAATTTGAAAGAGATGAAAGTACTTGAAGTAAATAGCACTAAACCTCATTTAACTTTTATTTTTGTCCACAGTGTAGATGTGAAGATACAAATCTGACTCATTTTACTCTTTTCTCTTAACTATTTTTTATGGGTTTTCCATCAGTTTATCTGAGGTTGATAAATGAAATCATAACTTAAAAATTAGCAAACCAATTGTAAATTTTCTGTACAGTATACAAATCTAAATGACAGCATACCCTGTAGCAGTATACTAATGGTAACAGTGCTTTACATACTACTACTATTTTTCCTAAAACATTATGTAATGCAGTTGAATTATTAGCTCTCCTGAATTATTAGCCCCCCTGTATACTTTTCCCCCCAATTTTTGTTTAACGGGGAGACAATTTCATTTCTAAACAATAGGTTTAATAACTGATTTATTTTATCTTTGCCATGATGACAGTACATAATATTTTCATTCATTCATTCATTCATTCATTCATTCATTCATTCATTCATTCATTCATTCATTCATTCATTCATTTATTCATTTTCTTTTCAGCTTAGTCCCTTTATTAATCTGGGGTGAATTGACCCGCCAATTTATCCAGCATATGTTTTACGCGGCGGATGCCCTTCCAGCTGCAACCTTCATAATATTTTACTGGATATTTTTCAAGACATTAGTATTCAGCTTAAAGTGCAAATTAAAGATTTAACTAAGTTAATTAGGTTAACTAGGCAAGTTAGGATAATTAGGCAAGTTATTGTATAATCAAGGTTTGTTCTGTAAACTAGCAAAAAATATTGCTTAAGGGGGCTAACAATATTGACCTTAAAATGGTTAAAAAAATAAGAACGCTTTTAATCTAACCAAAATAAAACAACAATATTATAGGAAATACTGTGAAAAATTATGGGATATATTTGTAAGTGAAAAACGATTCACAGTAGTGCTAAGAACTTTGACTTCAACTGTATGTGTAGTCTAATATATAGAACACTATTTATGTTACAGTTAAACGATAAACATTGTTTATACTATACTTTCATAAAAAGATATAAACTAAAATATGTGGTAGAAGTATGTATTTCATAAACTAAAACAGTACCTGTTATATTGCTTGCATAGTTCTAATTAAATTTATAATACAAAGAAAAATATAGATGTAAATATAGTGGATTCAACGTTTACAACTGTTATGCTGAATATTTGAGCATTATTGCTCTGGATGAAGTACAGTAAACCTAAAGTGTCTTATTTCCAGTCACACCTAAATAGTGTTTGTACAGTAGCTCACTTGGGTCAAAAACTGTTACCATTATAAATTTGGAAGGCCTAAATATGTGTTTTGTTGGTTTAGATTTTTTCATAAATGAATTAATTAATTCTTTCCTTCAGTCATTTTACCACTGACAAAGTCAGCACAAACCAAAAAACTTAAAAATAAAAATAAACATAAAAATAAAAACAACTCTTCAAAAAGGTCGCTGGTTTGAGTCCTGGCTGGGCCAGTTAGCATTTCTGTGTGGTTTGCATGTTCTCCCTGTGTTCGCATGAATTTCCTTCGGGTGCTCCGGTTCTCCCCACAGTCCAAAGACATGTGCTATAGGTGAATTGGATTAACTACATTGGCCGTAGTGTATGGGAATACCAGTAATGGGTTGCAGCTAAAAGGGCATCTGCTGTGTAAAATACATGCTGGAAGAGTTGGCGGTTCATTCTGCTGTGGTGATAAATAAGGGACTCAGCCGAAGATAAATTATAATTCAACGGCAAAGCTTCTAAATAGTTTTTTTCAGTTTGGTATAATCTCCAAAACCTTGATTCGACTCGGATCATAAACACAGTCCTCCTCTAGTCCACTGTCCACCATTCCACAGTTTGCAGGGACCCAAGCAGTGTCATAACCGTGCTGATGCCAAGTTTTCTGTAAGGGATGACCCTGACAATCAATCCTCTTCACTTTTCCTACTCGAACACTGAGTTTAAGAATGGCCAAAGGGCAGTGTTCTCCAGTGAGCAGCCTTTTGGTGGTTTCATTTAAAGGGTATCGGGAAGCTTTCTCTTTACTCCTACTCACGTAGACTCCTGGACCCAGCATGCCATCTGCAGAGCGCATGAATCCTTGACGTTGGATCTGTAGTGCCTTTGCCATTGTAGTGCCATGATACATGATGTACGATCTCTGTCCAGGGTATTTCTGAATTCCAGTGTCATAACCGTTGTCCCCCATGCTCTTCAGAGTAACCAAGGCACTTAGTGGATAACCAACCTTAATAATTCTATATGAGAAAAAAAGTAGTTTGCAATATAAACATCAGGCAAGAAAAACTACATCAAACTATTCTTCCTCCCTCCATCATCATATTTCATTTATAGCATGGTTTTAATGGAGCCTACCTCCTTCTGAGTCTTCTGGTGCCACATGGCCTCTAGAAAAAGATGAACTGTTTTTATAGTACTTTGGTTTCACTTTTGGTTAGTACGCAAGGTGGGGCTGAAAGGGTTGGTGTTTTGAGGATGTGGTTTCCTATCCACAATTTCGGGAAGACACCGTATTTCTTGTTAGCGCTGTTCAGTTTATTAATAGTGTGTGAGCACAGTTATGTGTGGAATGATTAAACAGGTAATGTGACTTGATTTTATATTGTCTCAAATCAACAGGAATCAGTAAGGCATTCACAAATTCTAGGTTAACACTGAAACCTTTTAAAAAAGGTTAGATCTAAAAACTAATAAATATTATTAATTTATTTTACATTACCTCTCACTGTGCGCACCTACCATGAGAGGGTGCGAAATAAAGACACATTTTATTTATTTATTTATTTATTTATTTATTTTTTACATAATTTAAATTGGTTATTAAACAGTATACACTACCATATATTGACAAAGCAAGAAAGAATGAGAATAAATAAAGTTTTTTATGCGTTTTAAAGTGTGTATGTACTTGCATGGTGGGAGATGGGTAAAGAAATCTATTGGCTTTAGTTTTGCTGCTGGTTTTTCCGCACACTAAAAATTACAAGTCAGATAGCTATTGTTTAAAACAAGGCTCAAAATGACAAACTCTTTTTAATACAGGAAAACATAATTGAGACATTTGCCAAAAGGCCTAAAACTAATTAGACCAATATTGCTTCCACACACTATTTGCTTTCATTTTCGGTCTCACTCGCGGCAATACCCTTAAGTATAGTCTTTGACAGCAAGCATCACTGTTTTTTGAGATTGATATAAGAATAAGGGATGATGGGGCGGGGTGGTGCTGGATATGTGTGTACCTTTAAATAAAATCCTGCTGGCGCCCCTGTACATTACTGTGACCGTTCTTCCTGCTTTGGCCGGCCAGTGGGTGGGACAAGGAGACTCATCATTCTGAACACCTGTTCTGTCCTCTATAAAGCACCAGTAATGCTGGCTTGTTTTGTTGCTTACTCCAGTTTATTTTATTCTTGCTTTGTTTATTTTGTTTCTAGCATTAGTTTTGGTTAACAGTTGACTTTGGTTAGTCTAAGCTTGATCATTTTATTTTTTTCTATTCTTTTTCTCTCTAATTTCTTTTTGTTTACTCTCTTATGTTTACATAAATACTTTTTACATCAGCACCAAACCACCTGTTTATTTACTCCTTTAATTTCACATGGCTTTGAGCAAAGTCGTGAAATTACACTATCATTATCAAGAAAGGGTGTCTTGAAATGCAAACTGAAACCTGAGTAAAGACAGATCTTTGACTTGAGCTGAGTAGAAAGAAAAGAATCTAGTAAGGTATGATTGTAATCTCCTGTTTTGGTATTTGTGGTGACAAAGCAGGATTTTTAGAATTGCAGTGACAAACATCTAAAAACTTCAACTCTGGGCAGATATGAAGAAGCCTGTATTGGAATCAGTTCAGTCGGTCTGTTTAACTTTCTGTTTGTTTAACTTTCGCCTTTACGAACTTTGTTTTTTCCCCCCTGAAAATTAAAGCCATTTGTCTTTTTTTATGGTTTCTCTTCAATCACTGCATTGGAAAAGGAAAAAAAAATCCTATGCAGTGATTTGTTTTGCATGACTATTTGAATTTCTTTGGGGGCTATCTAAACCAGTGTGTTCCCGGAGGCACACAAACAATACATATTTTGGATGTCTTCCTTATTTGACCGAATAATTTAATCTTTTAAACTGACTTCTAATTTTCTCATGAGTTGGTTCTGATGTGTTTGCCATATTTGACCATATTTGTAAGTAATATTATGTCAAATTAAAGGATGAGCTGTAATATGACAAAGGAACCAAAGGTTAAACACAGCCCAGGAAAATATTATTTGGGAAATTTTTTAAAAAGTCATCAAAGGGTGCTAATAATTCTGACTTCAAGTGTCACACAAACACACATACACACACACACACACACACACACACACACACACACACACACACACACACACACACACACACATATATATATATATATATATATATATATATATATATATGTGTGTGTGTGTGTGTGTGTGTGTGTGTGTGTGTGTGTGTGTGTTTGTGTGTATATATATATATATATATATAGACTCTGTATGTCAAAAGATAAATAAAGGAGTACAACTATGTGATATGATTTCTTTATTTGAATCATTTTAAAATGCAGCCAAATTTTGCTCATTTTATTAAAGTTATAAACACATTTACTAGCAGAATGAATTGTTCACCGTTATAAAAATTGACAATGGTTTAACTACAGGAAAAAAAATATATAGTAACCGGTTTAACCGCAAATTAATTTACCTGAAAATATGGTTACTAAAGTTACTACATGGTTACTACTATTATGAAAAAGATTCATTTTTTTAATAGTGATGTAGTGGAATAATATGTGCAAGAGATTCTGTAAGTTGTCACAATTCTGAGATTCTGTAAGTTGTCACAATGTTCACCACTCTTGGGTTTTTCAAAAAAGATGGAGGAACTGGTGTATGCTGGAACTAAACTTTCACACTCCATTGCCGCAAGCCCCCAGTTACCAACCAAAAAGCGGCCTGCTCCACAACCACCTATGAGCCCACCTGGAAGAGCCCTCCGATCACACCGCCAGGGCCCAAAAAACAACGCCCCATCTTCAGCTGGTGAACACAAGAGCTCTCTGTGATGTGTGTCGGGGACCTGCTTAGATAACAGTGTCTTTATCAAATGTTTTCTGAACAAGCAGGAACCCAGTGTGTCTGTAGCTTTCTCTAAGCAGATATGTGTTGTGTTAAGTGACAGAAAACCAAAGACTTCATCAGGCCATTTAGCAAATCATTCAAATCTGGTGTCTATTCAATGTAGATCTGAGACTACTATAGAAAAAACAGCTAAAACTGTTAAGTTAGCGCTTTTAAACATCAGATCACTTAACAATAAGTCTCTTTTAGTCAATGATTTTATCACCACAAATTGCCTTGATTTTATGCTTTTAACTGAAACTTGGCTGGATGACAGTTGTAGCGCAGCAGTTCTGAATGAAGCAGCTCCTTTAAACTTTATGTCTGATTTCATGGCAATTAACAGCAAAATCTTAGAAGAGACTGTGCAAGTTATGAAAACATCAACCTGCAGTCTTGACACGCTTCCCACATCATTCTTCAAAATGGTGTTTACCTGTTTAGAAATGGATCTTCTAAAAGTGGTAAATGCTTCACTTCTATCAGGGATTTTTCCAACCTCACTTAGAACTGCAGTTGTTAAACCCCTCTTGAAAAAGAGCAACCTGGATAACACCCTATTGAGCAATTACAGGCCAATCTCAAATCTCCCTTTCATTGGCAAAATCATTGAAAAAGTTGTTTTTAACCAGGTTAACAAGTTCTTAAACTTCAGGGGGTGTTTAGACAATTTTCAATCGGGGTTCAGAGCACATCACAGTACGGAGAGCGCTCTTATAAAGATAATCAATGATATACGCCTAAATACAGATTCAGGTAAAATAACAGTGCTGGTATTGTTGGATCTCAGTGCTGCATTTGACACTGTCGATCACAGCATACTTCTGGATAGGCTGGAAAACTGGGTTGGGCTATCTGGCACGGTCCTCAAATGGTTTAGATCTTACCTAGAAGGTAGAGGTTACCATGTCAGTATAGGTGACCATAGGTCAAGGTGGACACCCATGACGTGTGGAGTCCCACAAGGCTCGATTCTGGCACCTCTCCTGTTCAACCTTTACATGCTCCCTCTAAGCCAGTGGTTCTCAAACTATCTTCACCAAGTACCACCTCAAAAAAAAATGTCTCTTCAAGTACCACCAAAATGACCAGTATTGAAATTAAGTAGCGTAGTTGGTCAAATTAAGCAGCTACAGCACTGCACAGTTTGAAAACGAAGCATATTCATATTTGTACAATTTGACAACTTGACCACGTGACTGGCGGAGCGGCATTCTGAAAAGTTAAGATGTTTTCAACTAGGTACGCCTGGAATACACAAGCGCGTCGTGCTAAAGTTTCTACTCATTTTGCTTGCATGTGGGTTCAAGTTTGATGCTCAAGTGACCGAGATGTAACAAGAGAATATGGTCATTTTTCTAAATAAAAAAAATGTAGTAAATGATCGTTCAGACTCAGATAATAAATAAAACGGAAATAATTAATAATTTTTTTTGTGCGGCCCAGTACTAATTGATCTATAGACCAGTGCCGGTGTGTGGCCCGAGGGTTGGGGACCACTGCTCTAGCGCGTACCTGCTCTGCAAGCACCACGCACCTCTTTCTTTCTATCTTGATTTTTAGCAGCTGATGACGCGATGCGCTAAAATAAACATTTTAAGCAAAGTGCGTTGATTGTAGGCTTTAGAGAACAGCCAATGCCGATCACATCGGTGTTATCGAACGCATCAAATGATTAAAATTGTATTCATTTTTTCTTTCATTACTCAGTGATTCCTCCGCGTACCACTAGAAGTAACCCTGCGTACCACTAGTGGTACATGTACCACAGTTTGAGAACCACTGCTCTAAGCCAAATAATGAGAAAGAACCAAATCTCCTACCACAGCTATGCTGATGACACTCAGATCTACCTAGCCTTACTGCCTAATGACTACAGCCCCATTGACACCCTCTGCCAATGCATTGATGAAATGAGCAATTGGATGTGCCAAAACTTTCTTCAGTTAAACAAAGAGAAAACTGAAATGATTGTGTTTGGAAACAAAGATGAGGTTCTCAAGGTAAATGCGTACCTTGGCACTAAAGGTCAAACGACAAAAAATAAGGTCAAGAATCTTGGTGTGACTCTTGAGTCAGATCTGAGTTTCAACAGTCATGTCAAAGCAGTCAGTAAATCAGCATACTATCATCTAAAAAACATAGCAAGAATCAGATGCTTTGTTTCTAGTGAAGATTTAGAAAAACTTGTTCATACTTTTATCAGCAGCAGGGTAGATTACTGTAATGGACTCCTCACTGGTCTTCCTAAAAAGACAGTCAGACAGTTGCAGCTCATCCAGAACGCTGCAGCCAGAATTCTAACCAGAACCAGAAAATCAGAGCACATCACACCTGTACTCAGGTCTTTACACTAGCTGCCAGTTACATTCAGAATAGATTTTAAAGTATTATTACTGGTCTATAAATCACTAAATGGCCTAGGACCTAAATACATCACAGATATGCTCACTCAATACAAACCTAACAGATCACTCAGATCATTAAGATCATATAAACTAGAAGTTCCAAGAGTTCAGTCAAAGCAGGGTGAATCGTCTTTTAGCCACTACGCCCCTCGCTGCTGGAATCAGCTTCCAGAAATGATCAGATGTGCTCCAACATTAGGCACATTCAAATCAAGACTGAAAACACATCTGTTTAGCTGTGCCTTTACTGAATGAGCACTGTGCTGCGTCCGATAGATTGCACTATCATGTTTTTCTCTTCTTCTTCATTCTTTCATATCACATTTTACCTGTTTTTATGTTTTGTTTTTATGCATTTTTATTATTTGTTTTTATTTTTATTTTACTTGTTTCTTTTATTCTTGTTTATGTAAAGCACTTTGAATTGCCATTGTGTATGAAATGTGCTATATAAATAAACTTGCCTTGCCTTGCCTTGCCTTGCCTAAGTTGCATCCCACCAATATTAATGCATGAAACAGATTTTTAAACAATAGCAAATTACAAAAGTAGACAAGTAATTGATGCACACAACATAAACTGCAAAGGGAAAACAATGCAGTTAATGTATATTTGACTGTAGCATACAGAGCATTTAGCATTTGATTTTGCACACAGCACATGAGTTTTCTAACAGTAATACAAACATATTTATGCTCTTGGCTTTGAACAACAGTGTGAAGCCTGCAACGCAGAATCACAGTTTGAAGTCCTGCAATGCTGTGTTATTTACCCTAAGGGCAGTTCAGCTAAAACAAACAACACACTAAATTAGCTTACAAGCAAATACATGACTTATTCTTAAAACAATATTGATTATAAAACTGGAGCTCATATTAATATTGCCTTGTTGCTTTTAAGTGTATACAAACTTAACTGCAACGTTACATATTTCTAGAACTGGCTAGGATCTTATTTGTTTTTTATGACATAGAAGCATCTAAATTTATTACAAGGTTCTGGAAACATTTCTCAGATATTTTGGTCCATATTGACAACATAGCATGTTGCAGAAGATTTGTCGGACTCGCATATCAATGATGTGAAACTCACATTCCAATGGTGCTTCATTACAGTTATATAGTATTTAGTCATTTGGCAGATGATTTCATCCAAAGAAAATTATCAATACCATGATATATTCTCATTGTTCTCATGCTCCATAATGTCTGCCCCTGACAAGAGGAGAACTGGTCACCCAGTCTGAGGCAGGTTTTTGCCAATGTTTGTTTTCCACTTCTGTCAATTGGAGGACTTTTGGTTTCTGGCCACTGTTGCCTCTGGCTTGTTTGGTTGGGGCTGGTGGGCTTGCTCTTCAGTGGTTCATCCTTCAACTTTGGCATTTGTGTTAATCTGAACCGATCTTCATCAGTGACAATTGAACTATAACTACACCGGCATTCTACCTACTTGCCTGATGTGCTGAAGGGTTTCCACATTCTGAAATATTGTTATGGCTTTTTATTCTCTATTCTTTGTCAATGTCAAGCTGGACTTTGATGCAATCTACATTGTAAAAGCACTACTGAAATAAAGATTTTGAAAATGAGGAATACATAAAAACATTCATTTTAAAGAAGCAATTTGTGACGGTCCATTATCTTGTTAGAAGAAGCCATTGCAAGATGGTTCCCACTGTTTTCATGAAGGGATGGACATGTTTAGCAACATTGCTTTGGTGTTTAAACCATGCTCAAATAACAGAATACAAAGTGGCCCTATAAACACCCCGTACTGTACATCATTATCATGGTACCATCATCATGTACCATTACTGTACATCAGGGGTGTCAAACTCAGCCCCCTGAAGGGCCACAGCCATAAACAGTTTAGTTTCAACCCTGCTTCAACACACTTATGCCTCATTCACGCTAGCAGCGACTTTGCTGCTGCCTGTCGCTCTGTGTAGTTACCTGCTTTAAACGCAGGTCCGTATAAAGGAATTACCAACCTACGTCACACAAGATGTTACACTGGTTCCCGGTTGCAAAAAAAGACAGGTTGCATGTAATGTTGTGCGGTAGGTGACCAAATTTGAAAGTCAAAAAAATACATAACTTAATTTTACCGTACACCACACTGCTTTTAATGCCAACTGCAGACGTATTTGGCTAAAATGGAGCTGAATGGAGTGAGGATGTAATTAAAAATGCTCGACTCTGCAGTTCTCGTTTCATATCAGCTAAGTTCACGCTATGCTGAATCATACGAATTACTCGATTTTGATTGCAGCAATGACTTCAACAAAAACAGTTACATATGGTTAATTAAACTGTGGACACTGAATGCTTAGAATAAAATGTAAAAATGTACTTTCACATACTCTGCTGTACAGGTGCAGTTCGCTGTCAGAATGCAGTCGTTTTGCTTGCTGATTATTACCCAGGCCTTTGTATAGCTCTGTCTTCTTTCCTTGTCTTTGGCTTGGCAGAACCTCGGTTTTTAGCACCACAAAGTTTTAAATCTGGTAATCATGGAACATTATTTCTTGCACACAGAACAAAATTGTTGGAAAGACTTGAAGGCCTTAAACTTCTCTCTTGTAAAATCACTTTGATTTTCAATGAGATAGTTTTAAATTTTGGGGTGGATGCTTGGTCATTTTGTCTTATCCAATATTCATTGGGAGGGTGCTATAGCGAAAAAACCTGTCAGACGAATGCCGCTCACTTTATTGTTTTGCATAAAAACGGTGCTTATCACTGGGTGACAAGCTGTTATAATATGCTAAAACCATTATGTAAATATTATATATAATATGTAATCAATATAACTTATTTCTAAGACAGCAACAAACTCTGTACCACATCGGATATCATTCACTCACTGTAAATGGTAGCGCTCCCAATTTTTTCTGCAACCTGAATGTTTACAAACCGGTAATTTGTCTATAGGTCTATACATTACAAATACAACCGGCTTCTGAGCGAGCTGAGAGAGGATCACGTGAGCACTGCTGGTGCTCCTATTGGCTGTCACTAAAGAAAGTCGCTCTTCATTTGCATGAAGTTAAAGGATTCTCAACTTTGTTGTGTAGCTTGACACGCCCACCTGGTCACCAACGGTCGATGTCGCTCGCGTAGACAGAGGTCGCCTTAAGTCACTTGCTTTCTATCGCTAGTCACTTTGCCACATTGAGTCACTTGTAGTGTAAATGAGCCTTTACCTGTAGATTTCAAACAAGCCTGCAGTACTTAATTAGTATGATCAGATGTGTTTATTTAGAGTTGGAACCGAGCGGCAAGCTGCTCTCCCTCATGAAGCAAAATACGTAAGTAACTGAAACTGCAATTCATCCAAATTCTGCTAGTCCTGGCTCCATAATAGAGCAAATTTTTATAAAGCCCACTGTTAAAATGGCCAACTTTACAGAAAAAAAAAGAAAAATAGGTGTTTACAGCCTGGTACAAAGGACGATTTTGGTTCATATAGCTAATATTGCCCTTCTTGACAGCTGTGAGGGGGATGTTTTTTTTATAACTCATTTATTTTGTTTATGTTTAGTTATATTAAGTCTGCATAATTACGGGCGTTGCCACTTCAATGACCGCTAGATCTGACTGGTCGCCGTCACTTCACCTCAGTTGATTCTGGCTGATTAGTCGCTGAACTGGGCATATATATCGTATTTTTGTTTTGTTTTATGTGGTTTTACACAGTCAATTGCATTTTGGAATTATTTCCTACAATTATCAGATGATATGGAATGCTGTGTGCACTTAATTGCACTCTGCTCACGCTCCACCTCTTTGCCCTTGTTTGGTATCCCCCGATCGGTGCGATGACGCATGAACAAAATGGCAACGGTTGGTCATGCTCACTTGCAGCTTCTTTTGTGCTCCTCAGAAACCTATGGGTGATGTCACGGATACTACGTCCATATCTTTTACAGTCTATAGTTGGAACTAAACTGCTGTATCCCTGCTGTACATAATCATCATCAGCCTGAACCACTGACACAATGCAGGATAAATTCTTTCTTTCATGTAATTTACACCAAATTCTGACCCTACAATTTGAATGATGCAACTGACCAGGCAATTTTTGCCTTCTAGTGTGCAATTTTGGTGAATCCATGGAAACTGTAGCTTCTGTTTTCAGCTCTGTTCTGACAGCAGTGGCACCCAGTATCATGTTCTACTGCTTTAGCTCATCTGATTAAAGGGATGGTTCACCAAAAGCTGACAATCCTCTGATCATTTACCCCCCCTTCACCCTTCATATTCCTGTTTAAATTTATTTTTTGTCTATTTCTGTTTGCGTCAATGATTGCAAGTTTCCAGCATTTTACAAATGTTTTATTTTGTGTTAAAAATAAAAATGAACTTAACATTTTCTCTCCCTCAATTGGTTCCATACCATCATGAGTTTTTTTTTTTTTTTTTTTTTTTTTAGTAAACTGTGTCTTTAAAATGAGACAGTGCATTCAGAAATGCCTTTCTGTAGACCACAGTTGTGAATCAGCTTGAGTCAGTTCGACCATTTTTTATATCTGACTTGTTATCAACAAGAAACTTTTACTCTTGGATTAAACATTTTGTTTTTTATAGCCTTTATCTGTAAACCCTAGGCATATTTGTGTGTAAAATTCCCAGATTGTATCATTTTTTTGATTGTACTTTATGTATTTTTAGCTTGTTGTTTTAGTGTGGCTTCTTTCATTGGTTTTGTCAATTGTGATCCTCTGAGTCACTACCCTGCTCCCGGGCTGAAACCACACCCTTATCCTTAATATTAGAATTCCGCATTGCCAGTGCCATAATCATACTTACTAGGAAATGAAACTCAAGTCAAATATGGCCACTGCCAGCACATCCACAGCCATGGAGGAAGCAGATCCAGACCTTAATTCAAGTGGACCTCAAGATGTAAACTGTTCGTCGTGCATTGGAAAAAAGCGCAAGGCTGAACAGTTCTGTCTGCAGTGTTCGGAGTCATACTGTGATTTTCATCTTGACTTGCATAACACTTTGCACGTTGGGAAGAGGCACAAACTAATGGAGCCATGTACAGCCCTGCTGGAGAACATCTGTGTTGATCATGGCAGGAGGCTGGAGGTGTATTGCCGAACAGACCAAAAGTGCATCTGTCACCTGTGCATTACTGATAAACACACAGGTCATCATGTCATCTCAGTGCAAGAGGAGGTGGCCAACAAACAGGTCAGTAATGTCATTAAAATGCGGATTGTCTTTCTTTAACAGTCTGAACCTGGACTTAATGGCAATGGACTTAATGGTAATGAAGATGTTTTTAAGAATGTTATGGTTTCACGTTATGGTTATGAGGTTACGATTATGTCTCTGCTTTTTTTTAGTATGATATTGGGATATTATTTTGTGTGTATATGAGTCACACACAAACACACAAAAAAACATTATAGTAAACAACAACTAAACAAAATGGCAGCTAAACTTAAAAAAATATCTATCAATAACTAAAGTATTTTCTTTTTCTTTAGAAGCTAATTGTTTACTAGCCAGGATTTACCACCACCTATTGAACCACACCCAAAAAGCCAGTTCATTTAAATAAACAGAAAAAAAAAAACAAAATTATGAAATAAAAAGATAGGTGTAAAACAACTGTTCTGTATTAATATTTTAAATACATTTAAATCTATTTTAATTTTAAAATGTAATTCTTTCCTTTGATGGTAAAACGAAGTTTTCAGCAGCCATTACTCCATTCTTCAGTTTCACATAATGATTCAGACATTGTTAAAATAAGCAGATTCAATTTAAAAACAGTAAAACTGTGAAAGCCTTTATCAAAAAAGTATTTTATTGAAAAAAGTATTTTCATCATCTTTACTCTTTATTCAGTACAAATATGTGCGTTAAATTTAATGTTATATATTCATATGTATATTTAAATACAGTGAGAATCCATATGCGAAGAAAACGACAGTATTTACATTTTCAAAAATTTTGTTATGTGTAATAAACTAAAATGACACAGGAAAAAGGAATTAACACATGAAGAAAGGGAGGTGTAGAAAGGCAGTAAAAGCCCAGACAGCAGCTGAAATTCCTAGTTATTCAGCAACCATCTACCCTTCGTCAGTGTAAATTAAAATCAGGTGCTTCATTCCAACATCTACGATATCAAGATAATGAAGATGAAACCCGATTGGACATTTTAGCATGACAATGATCTAAAACAGCCAATGAATCTCTCAAATAGATTCAAAGCAAGAAAATCAAGCTGTAGAATTGCCCAGCCAATCACCTGACTTGAATCCAATAAAAAATACATAATAAATATCAAATCTGATATACAGTACAAAACCCACAGAATTTCAAATTTGTCCACTGTTGAAGTCCTGAGCGATTCATGCGACTTCAATCTCCATATGAGAGGCATCTTTAAGCTGCCATCATTTAAAAAAGTATTTTTATATAACATATTAAATACATTTTAGTACATTGTCCTTGTGTCATTCTATTGTCATTACACATAACATTTTTTTTCCAATAAATTTTTTTTTGTTTAATATATATTTTTATGTTTGTATTGCATGGATTTTTACAAAAATCTATGTATTGAATATATTTGATTTATATATTTATTTTGTTGGCACTTGGAAATCAGATTTTATTATTGACTGTTGCTGATAATGTCACCATGATTTAAAACCAGAATAGTACCAGTGACCGACATTTTTCTTATATGTGGAATGCATGCAATGAGTCTGGCTTTTGCAGTTCTGGCTTAGATGAAGGCATCAAAACACTAGTTCTTTTTGTCCTACTGATTTTAATTGCTAGTTGTTTTTAAGGGTAAGCTGTGGGAGTTGCAGAAGAAGGCCATTGACATAATTGAAGCAAAAGAGAAAGACGTGCAAGCGCTGAAACAAGCCATTGAGGTTTTCAGGGTTAGCATTTATTTTTCCTTTGAACTTGTATCTTTTCATTTTTAATGGTATGATATTGCCTTCACAGCTAATTTAAGAACATCCACTCTACTCTTTCTTCATGATTAGGCTTCAGAAAATAAGGCACTGGTGAACAATGAGAAGAGCTTCACTGAGCTGATCCAATCTATGAAGGACAATCAAAACAAAGTGACAGCTCTGATCCAGGGTCAGGCAAAGTCTGCTGTGAAGCAAGCAGAGGGCTTCATACAGATCCTACAGCAAGAGATCAGCGTTATAAGGGCAAAAAATACTGATCTTATGGACCTGGAGCTGCTGTCTCAGTCAAACAATGATGTTCGCTTTCTTCAGGTATAGAAACAATGGCTCTGTTGTAGCAGATAGATGCCTTTTGGAGTGTCTGGTAAAATGTTACAGTTGTCAATGTGTTTGTACTTTCTACAGAGTGCAGTGTTCATGCCTTTACTGACTGCGTATAAACAGTCATTCGTCTTCCATGTTCATCCATACAATTCTTTTGAGCGTGACTCCATGTTTGTTGATGAACTGGTTAAAAAGCTAAACACAACCAGCAAGCAGAGTTTACTCAGAGTTTCCAGAAAAGGTTAGTAGAAGTTGTTGTATTTTATTTAAATACTGTTCATGATTATATTGTCTGTAAATCATCTTGAAGAGATTCTGAATGCTAATGAATATTGCTATTTTTAAAGTGAATAAGTAATCTGTTCAATTTAGTCCACATATTTTGTTTTCAAAGTCTGATCATTTGCTTTCTCTATTGGAGTGGCAGTCCTTCACTTTTTTCCGCTTGTCAGCTTCAGCCACAATATTCTAAACCACACCCCTCTTACTGTTAGTTTGCTAAGAGGGAAATATTCAAAAATAAAGCCCCACCCCTATTCAGTATATTGTGTAAGTTATATGGGACATTCTACCAGAAATGTACATTTTCACTTTTAGAAAACGAGACAGAGCGTGACTTCAAAAATCATACAAAAACAAGCCTAAAATCATACAATTTAATGATAGAACACATCCTTAATCACTGTCAGCTTCCTCTCTGTCAAATGATGTCACTTACAAGTCGTAGCCTTAAAGGTGTATTGCACGCATTGTATGTTAAATTTGATGCAAATGTGACATGACTGACATTTATTTGTATTATATATTTGTAGTATTTATTTGTAGAAGTTATTTATTAATTCATGTTTTTAATTGATTGATGTGATTTATGACAACTTATTTTTTGCTATTTCTGAAGTACTTTTTCCTAAATATCGGTTTTTGGCAAAGCATAAAACTATTAAAACTGTCGGTTCAATTGGGCTGAGGACAAGGACAATGACAGAGTTTTTACATTTGTAAAGTGTTTTTAATATAAAAATAATTTAAGAACCAAATAAATGACATTTCTTTACAGAACAACTCACAGAAATCAATCATCAGTCCATTTTTTTCAGACCTAGTTTTTGGGATTAAATACTTTTTATTCACTGTATTTTTGTTATTTTTATTGCAGGGACAGATAATATAAATTTCTGGTAGAATATCCCATATATCAATTAATATAGTTTCAATTGGAAGTACCTCAACACACTGAAATAAAAGTCTCAGCAACATCCGGTTTTTGCAGACTTTAAAGAGTTTGTTCCCCCAAAATAAAAAAATGTATATACTTTTATAATCTTTGGAAATCAAATGAGATTTTTTAGTTATCAAATCTGAGATTTACACCCCCCACCCCACTAGATGTTCGTTAACCCAAAACTGATTCTTCAAGATGTTCATAAGGTACTTAAAAAATAAAACCATTACAATTGTATGGTTTAATCCAAGACTTCTAAACAAATTCTTTATATAATGAACAGATAGAATTGAGGTTTTAACATAAAAACCTTGATCAGTGAACATAAACAGAAACTCAACCACACGTAGAAGCTCAAACTGCTGGCATGACAATCAAAAATTACCTTGATTGGTTTTTACTGTACATGTCAAACAAGAGTCTGTGACCAAATTTAAATGCTGATCACTGATAATATTTGAATAAAAGCCTAAATTAATCTGTTCTTTTTGCAGTGATTGATTGTCATGGATTAAGTGCTCAATTCATGTGAACATTCTGAAATGTCAGTGTTTTGGATTAATACACTACCAATAGAGAAACATAAATACCTCTTCTTTTATATTGTCATTTGCATTCTAAAGACAATTTACATTTACATTTACATTTAGTCATTTAGCAGACGCTTTTCTCCAAAGCGACTTACAAATGAGGACAAGGAAGCAATTTACACAACTATAAGAGCAACAATGAATATTGAAGTGCTATAGGCAAGTTTCAGGTCTGTAAAGTCTAAGAAGGAAAGTATTAGTAGTGTTAGTATTTTTTTTTTTTTTTAGGTACAGTTAGTGTGATATTCAGAGAGGCAATTGCAGATTAGGATTGAAGGTGATACAGGTTTGGAATAATATGATTAGTAATTGTGACATTTTAACCATCTTAGACCTACTTCTTTTGCAGTGAAAAACACTAGAATTGTGGCATCACCACCGCCAAAGACAAGAGAAGAGTTTCTACAGTGTACGTATCCAATAGAAAACTGAAGCTCTTTCATTTTGTGTTGGTTGTACTAAAATGCATCTGTCTGTCTGTCTGATTTCAGATGCAACAAAGCTCTCTTTCAATACCAACTCAGCGCATAAATATCTGCTCTTCAGAAATGACAACCAAGAGGTGATGGCCTCAAACCAGCTTCAGGACTATCCTGAACACACTCAGAGGTTTAACTGCAGGGCACAGATCCTGTGCAACGAAGCCCTGAGAGGGTCCTCAAAATACTGGGAGGTGGAGGTTGGAGGGGGTTCTTGGGTCTGCATTGCTGTGTCCTATCAAGGAATCCACAGAAAAGGCAAACCACGTACTCTTTTTGGGAGAAATGCCAACTCGTGGGGACTGCGCTGTTTCTGGTCCACCTATGAATTCTGGCATGACAATAAGACAACATTTACAAAGCACGAATCTCGTGCACCCAAAATAGGAGTGTATTTGAACTATAGGGCTGGGGTCTTGGCATTTTACAGTGTTTCCGGGGTCAACATGAGTCTCATTTATAAGCACAAAACTGTTTTTAAAGAGCCTGTGTATGCTGGGTTTGGACTGGCTGGGAAAGGTTCTTACGTGAGACTCTGCAATCCTGTGAAAACTGAGACAATAACGTCTCTTCCTTTTCCATTTAAGTTTGAATCTAAAACATCTCCCTTCTCTCCATTTAAATTTGGCAGTTTGTAATGCCGAGTTCAGACTGCATGATTATAGCCCCAATTTTGACTCGCTGACAGGTTTTGAGAAATCGCAAACAAATGCCTGAAATCACAAGCAAATCAGTGCTCGTGCACTTATCAATTACATAGTGTGAACTATTGAAGACGCGATCTGAGAGAATAACCGATGAGTCGCTAACACCCGCGAGTTATTTGGCATGCTAAATATCTGGACCTGTTGTGCGATTCAAAATCATCACGTGTAAAATGTGTTCTGATCAAACATAACATCGGCAATTACCTACAGCCAATGAGAGAGCAGCATCAATGGGTATCTGCAGGAACAACAGGAGGCTGGGGGAGAAGTTAAAAGTGATTTATTATTTTTTATGTAATTTTTTCAGTCTAATTGGACCCAATAAATGTAGGGAAAAAAGGTTTGAGAGAAATTGCTCTTCAAAGGCCAGGTGAGCAAATTAAGTACATTTTCTACCCCACTAAAGTCGTCTTTCTCATTTTGTAGTTAATAACAAAAGATATACTACATGACCTTGCGTTCTTTCCATGTTACTTTTCGCATATGTTTGATTGTGAGACGTAGTTTGGGGACCGAGACAACGTTGTCGGCAATACTTAAAGTCATGCAGAGTGAAACCCTGTCGCCAATTCATCTTGCAGTGTAAACACAGCATCGAAAAAATGCTACCCCAGATAGTCATGCAGCGTGAAAACATCTGACACATTTACTTTAAAAATCGTGCAGTCTGAACTCAGCAAAAGTTGTGGTATTTACGTGTGCCACTGTCAACATATCTTATTCTGCATCACATACGCTAAAAAAATGATGTCTGCAAAACTGTTGCAAACTATTTATTTGTATTGAATTTCAAAAAACAAATTAATTTTAGTAATGTTCAACTTAATAGTTTGTTTAAATTCAGCCCAAATAATTGGTGTATAACCTCTTAACGTAAAAAAAAAAAAAAAGGAAATCCAAGGAATCATCTTTAAATAATTGTTTTCAGTGTACCATACATTGGAGAGGGATTCATTTATTTTATTTTTTTGTATGTGGACACTTGGTGGCAGCACTAGATAAGTTTTACACCTTTTTTATCAGCACATGTACATAGAAACCTAAGTTTAGTGAATATCTCAGAATGCTAGTCAAACTGGAAAAATCCAATGTTTTCTATTGAATTGATAGCTTCAAAATATTAGATGTATACCATTTAACATACTATCACAACATGCCTTATCTCTATTTTTAACATGTCCTGAATATTGCTAAAATGATTGCACATACTGTTCCCCAAACGCACTGTACATGTAAATCATTTGCCCATTTCACATCTGCTGATCTGAACCCAAATCTGTCATTCCATCTAATCCTCCAACCAAATCCACACACTCAGTCCTTTCCCAGTGATCATTGTCTGCTTTTTCTTGTTCCTCCTTTGTGCATTCGTCCATCCCTCCTGTCACTCTTCCCCCTCAGGCTCCACTCTTCCACTGTCCCAACAATTATAGTCTCGTTTTCTCCCTTAAACCACACAAATGCACATGCTCACACACACATGCATCATTTCATTGAGTAGATACTGAATATGCCGTGGCCTGGAGGCTTGGTCGAGGGGACAAAACCAAAGCCAGTCGCCTCCTGCCCTTCCCCCTGCTGCCCACCCGTCCAAACAGAACAAAAATCAGCCTTGGGGTAAGTGTAGGGCAGACACGGTTTCAACAGAGCAAGCAATGCCACAGCAAAAATAAAAAATAAATAATGTGTGTAGAGGAAGGATAGAAACTAATAGAGAACATCATAGAGAAGGAGAGTGAGTGTGTGCGCCTCAGTCTTCAGGGAGCCTGCTTACAGTTCTGCCCAATCACAGACATCATTTGCAGCTTGTATTATCCTTTTATGAGTGACGGGGATTTCAAAATACTCTATTATGAAAAGAACCATTTCTCTCGCTGCCAAGGACATTGACACTACAGTCACACTGCTGCTATAAATACCCATTTTTTAAACTGAGTCACCATATAAACTAAAAACCGCTACACTCACAAACTCCTCCTCCAAGCTATTACCCAGCAGGCAGATGCTGAGGTCTGTCACTCTGCTAACAAGGTGCCTGTTAGAGTAAGTTGCTGTTGCACAGTTTTCTTTCTCGCATTGATGTATTTGCTATTGAAACAGGAGCTTTGGGTGGCATGAATTAAATGGCACCTACTTTCTCTTTTTTTTACTAGCTCAATTGAATTTTGGTTGCTAGTCAGTTGTAGGTCTTGGGAGGGACTCGTTTCAGAGAGCGTTTGATTGGTTGGAAATTTAAATAGTGCAGGAGTCATCAATGTTTTTGGAGACTCTCCAAATCTGCTGCGAGTCAGTCAATATGTAAGAGTACACCAATGTGTTTACTAGCATCAGGGGTAACAAATGTGTATTAAAGCCCACAGAACTGTAAGGGTACATTCTTCAGTATATCTTTGTTTTCATTCATGCATTGCTGTTGAAACAGGATATTATGGTGGAATGTATTAAATTTCACCTTTTTTCTTATTTTTTCCCTCATTTATTTTAGTAGCTCAATTGAATTTTGGTTGCTAGTCAGTTGTAGGTCTTGGGAGGGACTCGTTTCAGAGAGCGTTTGATTGGACAGAAGTTGTTTAGTGCAAGAGTCATCAATATTTTGAGAGAAACTCCAAATCTGCTGTAAGCTGGTCAATATGTAAGAGTACACTAGTGTGTTTACTAGCATCCAGTCTAACAAATGTATATTAAAGCCCACAAAACTTTTTGGCTACATTCTTCAGTATATCTTTGTTTCATTTCTCGCATTGATGTATTTGCTGTCGAAACAGAATATTTTGGTGCAATAGTATTAAATGGCACCCCCTATTTTTAATTATCTCAATTGAATTTTGGTTGCTAGTCAGTTGCAGGTCTTGGCAGAGCCTTGTTTTAGAGTGCGTTTGATTGAACAGAAATTTCTATAGTGCAAGAGTCATCAATATTTTTGGAAACACTCCAAATCTGCAGTGAGTGAGTCAATATAAGTACACCAATATGTTTACTAGCATCAGAGCTAACAAATGTGTAATAAATCCTACAAAACTCTCAATATATCTTTGTTTTCTTTCTCATATTGATGTTTTTTGCTGTTGAATATTTTGGTGGAATGTGTTAAATTTCAAGTTTTTTTTCCTCATTTTTATTTTTTATTTTTTAACTTTTTTATTAGCTCAATTGAATTTTGGTTGCCAGTCAGTTGTAGGGTCAGGGAAGGACTCATTTCAGAAAGCGTTTGATTGGACAGAAATTTCAGCTTAAGAGTCATCAATATTTTGCAGACACTCTAAATCTGCTTTGAGTGAGTCAATATGTAAGAGTACACCAGCATGTTTATTAGCATCTAATAAATGTGTAATAAAGCCCACAGAACTCTAAGGCTACATTCTTCAGTATATATTTTTCTTTCTCACATTGATGTATTTGCTGTTGAAACAGGATATTTTGGTGGAATGTATTAAATGCCACATTTTTTCCTTCTTTCAACTCTCTACTTTTAATTATCTCAATTTAATTTTGGTTGCTAGTCAGTTGTAGGTCTTGGCAGGAACTCATTTTAGAAAGCGCTTTAGTTGAATAGTGTATACTGCGAGAGTCATCAATATTTTTGGAGAAACTCCAAATGTGCTGTGACTGAGTCAATATGTAATAGTACACCAATATGTTTACTAGCCTCACGGCTTACAAATGTGTATTAAAGCCCACAAAACTAAGGCTACATTCTTCAGTATATCTTTGTTTTCTTTCAAACATTGATGTATCTGCTGTTGTATCTGCATTGATGTATCTGAATGTATTAAATGTCTCCTTTTACCTTCTTTTCCCCCATCTTTTTTTTTTTTTTTTAAATTAGCTCAATTGAATTTTGGTTGTTTGTCAGTTGTAGGGTCAAGCTGGGGCGTTTGATTGGACAGAAATTTTAGTGCAAGAGTCAATAATCAATAATTTTGGAGAAACTCCAAATCTGCTGTGAGCCAGTCAATATGTAAGAGTACACCATGTTTGCTAGCATCAGACCAAACAAACGTGTATTAAACCACAAACATACACAAACTCAACAGATCTGTCTATCCGTCTGTCTAAAAATAGTTATAATTTGTAAAATTTCAGCCTCTGTCTTGAAAGTGACAATATTCTTGACAAAATAAAGTATATTAAAAGAATGTCGCCTCACAGCATGAATGTTGCTGGTTCAAGTCCCGGCTGGGTCAGTTGGCATTTTTATGTGAAGTTTGCATGTTCTCCCGTGTTCGCATGGGTTTTCTCCGGGAGTTCTGCTTTTCTCTACAGTCCAAACGCATGCGCTATATAGGTCAATTAAAAAAAACTTAATTGGCTGTATGTGTGTGTGGTTGTGGGTGGGTGTTTCCCAGTACTGGGTTGCAGGTGGAAGGGCAGCTGCTGTGTAAAACACGCTTGATAAGTTGGCAGTTCATTCCGCTGTGGCAACCCCTGATGAATAAAGGAACTAAGCTGAAGGAAAAGGAATGAATGTTTTAAGTACATATTGTAAGTACACATTTGTTATGGTAAAAGACCAATGTGATATGTAAATATAGCATTCTACTAATGAGTGTGCTTTAAAGCATATAATTATTATAACAGTGATTTACAATAATGCAAATACTTTAGTTTCACATTATTACCAAGTGCATTTAAATACAATGAAAACAAGTTCATGAATGTGTAGACTACTCTTCGTATGTGAATTTTGAAATGTATTCAATTTGGAGTACAAATCTATCCATCTTTCTGTCTATCTATCTGAATCATGCCTCCATGTATTATTAACACGAGTGAAAAAATAATACAGTCATGTTCTCATCCAAGCACAAAAACCTTTGCTTTGCATTATTAATTCATCGCTTTACATAGATATATGCACAGTTGTGTTTGAACTCCTCTCTCATGCCCTCCCTCTCTGCCTCTGCTCAGTATGATATGTTTATAGGCATCGGCTGAGGCAGCGCGAGCGTTATAGCGGCTCCTGCTTGAATAGGAAGAGGAAAGGGGCGCTGGACGTCATGGCATCCAAAGACACCGTCGCGACCGCTTTTCTCACCGTGAGTCGGGAAATGACAGGTGATTAAACCCAATAGCTCTTTTTTTCTCTCTCTCTTCCTATCCGACATTCGACCATGGGATTTGTTAAGCGCGTTCCCGCTCTCGGCCGGTGCTTTGTGTTTTAGTGGTTTGAAATCCTCACAGCGCTGAATGTTTCATAAGGTGGCAGATTTGTAGATGTAATGATCTCTCATACAGATTGATTATGATTAAAAATGTTTAATCATGCATTACGCGCGGGAGCATGTGCACGTATGGTGGATTTAATCATAGTCACTTCGTGTCCATCTTCAAAAGACTAAATTTGTGCAAATGGATGAGTTGCGTTCCCGTGTGTGTTTGTTATGTTTGCCTGCAGTGTTAGCGCGCGTGTGTAGGTAGTTGTGTTGTGTGTGCGCGCGATTGATGCTGCTCTCATTTTTGATGTGACTGGGATGTGACTTACTTTAAAGAGCCCATATTATGGGTTTTTGAAAATTCCCCTCCATGTAGTGTGTAACACAGCTCTAAGTGAAGTGAAGTATCCAGCTAAGGCTTAAATCTGTAAGAATACAGTGTTTAAAACTGTTGATTCATCTATAAAAGAGTCGAATCATAGTGCTTCAAACGAGTCGCCTTGATACCGACTCATTAGGTGTTTCGCCATGACGTACGAACGAAACAAAGTTTTTCACGTGCACGCGCAAACCCGGGAGATTTCAAACCTGAGGCCCCGCCCTCTGACGCAGTAACCCAGACACACACACACACACACCCACAAACACACGCACACCCACAAACACAAACATGCCGGTCGATTGAAGTCACACTGCAGATGGATATATTGAGTCTCTACCCAAAGATGAAACATCAGCATTATAACCAAGCAGTTGGAAACTTCTGGAAGCTACATGCTACAAAGAATACTTCATCTGAGTTTGTTAAAGGAAGGATCAGTAAAGAGTAACTGATGGACGTCAGGATGGGTTTCTTCCTACATTTCTCAAGTGTAAGTACGTGCGGTTAAAGTTGTTGGCTCGTTGACTCTAGCTTGCAAATGTATTTAGTTGTGATTTGTTACTTGTAACCGCGTGTACTGTATCAGGTTAACAGGATATATTATCTTATCGCGTGCAAAGTCACGTTAAAAACGCGACGCGTGCTGTTTGTTTATGGAGCTCCGTGCTAGAGTTCTGCTCCCGCGATTTATTCGGAAATGTATTCCCGCGCCGCAGAAATCTGGCGCGGGGAGAGAGAGGGAGAGAGAGAGAGAGAGCGAGAGAGAGAGCGAACGAACGAACGAGCTTTGTGTACTTTGTGCTGTGTGTATACAGACAGCTTGGCTGTCTGGACTGTATACTGGGTGATATTTGGTTGTGTTCTCCGCTCTAGCGGGACCGGGCGCGGCGGGCAGAAAACGGAGCGGGTTCTCAGGCTAAAACCTGGCGGGTGCGGGCTGAAGCGGGAGCGTTGTCATCCGGAGGTGTGTGTGTGTTTTTGTGTGTGTGTGGTATGGCGAGTACACGACTGTCTCCTTCGTTCGGTTATCCGTGGCACTATCCACTCGCCATAGTGTGGCAGCTAAAGTCCACGCCTAAACTATCGAGCGTGTATGAACTGTGATTACTTTTTAAATTGCTGATTAGCTATTGGCCATTTCCCTCTCTGACTGAAGGCAGTCGACCAATCGCGACAGACTGTCATCGGCCCAATCAGCGCAGATTAGCTTCGCGCTAAGGAGGGGTTTGGGAACAAATGAATCACTGGACGATTCATACAGGAGTCGCTGGGATAATTAGATAAAAATAAATGCAGATTATAAGACCATGAAAGTGTTTTTTGACCTTGCATGCATATTAGACTGTTGTTGGAGACCCTTACAACCAAGATATGACCTTATTTCATGTATAATATGGGCTCTTTAAGTTCTTAACACATTTGCCTATTGGTGCAGACACAACTTCACTTCAGTTACATTCATGATGTGTGTGTGTGTGTGTGTGTGTGTGTGTGTGTGTGTGTGTGTGTGTGTGTGTGTGTGTGTGTGTGTAAATGACTGATTGAAAACACACTCATCATAGAGGCCGTCATCATTGCGCACGGGGGATTCGTCCTCACTCTGACTGACACATACAATGACACACTGAGCACACACTAGCAGTTTGGCATTTGGAGCGCTCTCACTGTTAATTACCTTCACACATTATTATCTTCCTTCGGTAATTAATCCCTATTACTAACCCGGTATTTACTGTCCTGCTCCCAGCCGCGCGCTCTCTGTGTTTCAACTTCGATTTAACGCACTTGGAAATAACGCTAACTTGTTAAAGGGATAGTTCACTCAAAAATAAATAAATAAATAAATTTACTCAGAGCAATCATTTAAACATTAAAGATGAATTTAACCATGATTCATAAAATCAGGCAATGGCTACAAGTACTTAAGGAGTCAAAATGATACAGAAGGAACAAAATTTATTCTCCGAGACGATGTATTGATAATAATGATAGGTCTGCCTATAAAGCTATTATTATCTACTTTTTCATTTTTGGGGTGACTAGTTCTAAAATTTGCTTTGATTTTCCCCCAAACTTTTGTAATAAGCTGTTTCTGTCTTTAAAAATAAAGAGTATGACTTGCATTGGAATTTACTTTAATATATCTATGCCTGAAGGCAAATAATAGCAAGGTTGTCACTTTATGCACCCTGCTGCTCAAATTTTAGTAAGATGAGGCAATTCTCTGTATTTGTGTAAGTGGTTTATGTTGTTTTTTAAATGATTTAGTTGATGTTTATTTCATTATTTTGTCATGTGCTGTGTTTTTGATAATGTTTGAGTGGGTGACACTTCATTTCATTACTGGCCCCTGGGGATGTGAATTTTTGGATGAATATTGAGCTTTCAGGCTTTTTATTCTACCCCCTGTGTTATTTTCAGCACTCTTTGCATTAACACTTTAACTGCCCCACCACAAGAAAAAAATTTGAATTGCATTTCTTAACTACTAATGTTGCTATACACTCAATGCACTCAACACATCCCATAATTTCTAAAATATGAACCTTTACCAAATGGTTAATATGTTGGTTAATGGTAAAAGTACTGGAATCAATAAATATACTATTAAAAATCTGAAACTATGAGGTTTAGGGCCAATTTATTTAAAAACATAGTCAAAATAAAACATTTTTGAGCGCTAAATTGTCTTTTTTTTAAAGTATGCCATACATTTTTCAGATTTTTTTTCAACAATAAAACCAAAATCCAGTGTAGTTGTGCATAAGGATTATGTTTTTTGAAAACGAACTATGTTTGTAAACTAGGATTCTCGTGATACCATTAACTCATGTCACGATACTATGCCAGCTGAAGTATCGTGATACTAAGTAGTATTGTGATACTGTAATTCATAACTCAAATCCATGAAATAAAGAAAAATGTCAAAAATACAATATTTTGTTTGTCATAAAAAGGCCTACTTGAATTTAATCAATAATTTCCTTATTATTAATAAAATTATTTGCACGTCTTTTTACCTAAAATGTATTCGTACCGACTAAAAATAATAATAATAACAATAATAAATAAAAAATAAAGATACAAATTATCCAAAAATGTTTAAATAAACTTAGGCTATATGAACTGGTCAAAAATTGTTTCAACATATTTTTGTTGCTATTTTAGTTTTCATCTAATTTTTTTTTTCTTATCAGGTAGGAATCCAAAGTAACATGTTGTAGCTATTAAATCATATTGACAGGAGCAGAAATGAATGGATTCAGATTCAAGCTAAAGCAGCAGAAAATATGCAATAGGCTACTGTAAAAGGCGCAAATTTTACACAGTTTGCAACCTTAGAAGGCTCCATAGACTATTAAAATAAAATGGACTATTGTTGCACAAACATGTGAGCACTTAGGGCCTACTCACATTATGCTATCCGAACCATGCCCAGGCCCGTTTCCCGGATCGTTTAAGAAGTGTGAGTGCTCTGAATCGGGCTCAGGCACGGTTCACTAGGCCGGCCCTGGCCCGGTTGAAAGAGGTGTGCCAGAATGCGGTTCACTTGGGTTTTGGCGCGGTACGCTTGTAGTGTGAGTGCAAAACTGAAGACGAGACGTGACTTTTACGGGACTGTTTCATATGAATTTATTAATCATTCTTACTGCTCAATGAACACGAACTGTCGTAGGTCACGAAGACTTTATGATAGTTTATGAGTGTCAAAAGTGGCTGATCTGTTCTGCAAAATATTTGACTGTGTGTCACTGTTTATCAAACGACTAAAGCAATATAACTAAAGAAATCTCCACTGTGCTGAGGGAAAGCTTTTACTGTACAGAGCATTACCGAATGTAATGCGAGTGCGGGCCATCGGCGGAGACGGGAGGGGGGGCAAGCATGCTTTGGCCCACTTCAAGGCAGCTGTACATAGTGTGAGTACGCCCTCAGTGACTTTTTCCACATGCAACATTATCTATTGTAGACAGACCGTTAATGACGATACTACCGACAGGATTTTAGAGCAATAGTACTGCCACAGTACTGGTAAACCATGCAACCCTAGTGTAAACCATTATTTAAAACAGTCATTCTTTAAATGACTTCAACAGTAATTATTTAAAACAGTCAAAATAGGATTAATCATTAAGTAGAGCAGGCAGTTAAAAGGCTAATGTTCCAACACCTCAATGTTTCATTGGTTCTGACACCTCAAATAGACTTGTACATTAATATTTTTAAAAAGGGTCATTAAAATGTAGATCTGCTAGCTTATAGATTATACCATTTTGCTCATGGACACACAAGGTTAAATATATGTAAACCGTGACCCAATATGCCAGAACTTTAACAATAAAATAAACAAGTGGCATTGACAAATTAATAAAAGAAACAGAAAAAAACAATATTAAGAGTTCACTTAATAGGTCTTTACTGCAAAATAAACCCTCGCCAAAGTGATCCAGCTGCCAATTCAAAGCTTTTTTCTCATGTCTGCCTCCTAAATAACCTTATATTGGATGTGGACTATTGATTTGAACTGAAATTACTGAATTATGAGAGACATGAAACTGGCGTAGTATAGGAGCAATATAGTTGTAAGTCATTTTACAATAAATATCTGAGCACAGAATTATGCGAGTAACCAAACAGATTATAGCATTAGAGGTGGTGCGGTGGCTCAGTGGTTAGCACTGTCACCTCACAGCAAGAAGGTCACTGGTTCAAAAGCCCTTCGAGTTTGTATATTCTCTCCTTATTTGCATAGGTTTCCTCTGGGTGCTCTGGTTCTTCCTACAATCCAAAGACGTGCTAAACGTCAATTGAATGAACTTAATTGTATGTATGTGTGTGAATGAGAGTGTATGGATGTTTCCCAATACTGGGTGGCAGCTGGAAAAGCATCCGCTGTGTAAAACAAATGCTGGATAAGTTGGCGGTTCATTCCGCTGAGGCGACCCCTGATAAATAAAGTGACAAAGTCAAAGGAAATGAAGGAATGAATGAATTATAGCACTAGAGAATGGCAGCAAGCTAAAATAATGAGTCAAAGAGGCTCATGAAGTGGTATATGAAGATGAAAAACAACTCTAAATGTGATGGTAATTGTTAGCAAGGGTTTAGAAATGGAAATTGGGGCAAATTAGATCACCCACAACACACAATATGAAGACAGTGATTGAAGACGTACTGTGCTGCTAGAACACAGCAGTCTTTGCATTCCCCTAATAAAAAGGGGAGCAACGTCTCAAACGTGTGCTTTTACACACACATGTGTGTCTTGCATCTGATTTAAATCTCACTGTTACCCCCATTTGTATTTTTCCTCTTTTCATCTTCACTTTCGTTCTCTTTTTGTCCACATTTACATATCCCTACCCCATTTACCCATTTATTTTTCCCCCTGTGACTCGCCGTAATGGAAACATGTGCTCTAGTTTGGCCCTTCGCTGTTCTTAGTGTCAGTCTGAAAGCCAAGGATTGCGTGATTGGGTCTTACACAGATTAAAGTTGATTGCGAGTGCATTAACTGTTTGTCTCACGCTGATCCTTCCTTCCCTCCCTCTCCCTCTTTTCTCTGTTATTCCTCATTCTGGCTTTCCCTTTCCTTCAGAGTCTCTCCTCCTGGCAAAAGTGTAAAATGCATTTTCCAGGAATTTGATCACACATGCGTGCAAAGATAAAACAGTTTGATGTTGCTATTTTATCCTCTGCCTGAAGGACATCTCGAGGAGCTTTTTATTCCTCCGTTGCTTTGGATATGTATAGTGTGCTTGCAGAAAGACCACCTACACATGTGGACAAGGTGTAAAAATAAAGAATAGTGTAATCCACTCATTTTTCAACCGTGTGCATGCAGTGGAAATATGTCTGAGATTGATAGAGTGCTTCTCTGGCCGTTAATGCATCGCCTTTCTATTTTGCAGAGAGCATCAGACGAGTTATTGACAAGACATCAATCAAGTTAGTGAGAGCTATCAAAGCAGAGAACAAGAGTGGCAAATCAGAGGATCGGATTCTGGTAAGGCTCTACGTTTAAATTCCCTATCCATGTCCTTAAAGGTACAGTTCACGCAAATCAAGGTCATTTATTCTCATGTTGATCCAAATCTTCGAAGTTTGAAGTTCTTTTGAAGACTTTAAAGGTATTCACACCTGCCTTGTTTGCTTCCATTGAAATGAACTCGGATTCATTTTTCGAGTTCATTTCCGAGTGAGGATATTTTGGGTCGGTTTGAATACAGCAATTGCACTGACCCAGCAGGCACAGGACGTCAGATTGATGTTGTTTCCCAATGTCGTGGGACATTGCATTTCGTTTGGAAATGAAAATGGGGTTGATGTCAGAACCCAACATCAGGTCTACGTCAATGTCCAACATCAGACAGACATTGCATTTTGGTTACTTTCCAAAAAAACAACAAAATATGAACGTCTAATGATGTTACAGCCTGACTACTTGCTTGGCACTATGACGTCTAGCAGACGTTGAATTTTGGTTTTCATACCTGATGAATAAATGTCAGTATTTGACGTCAAGATGAAATTTGTTTAAGGTGTTGGCTCAACGTTGGATTTTGGTTACATTCCAACACACCCTAAAATCAACCAAATATCAACGCCATTTGATATCATTATTGGACATCAAAATAACATTTTCCTTAGATGCTGATGACCTAAATCTAACCTAATATTAACCTTTTATAACGTTGTGTGTCTGCTGGGATGGTACACACCCAACATACCTCTTCAGCTGGGTCTTGGTCTGCTTGCAAGTGAACTCTAGTACAGTTTGTTTTAGCAAGAGTAAGGTGTGAATGTGGTCTGACCTCGATCTAACCCATTTTCAGAAAGCCTTGCACCTTTCGACTTTTCAGGAAACTGTAGTTGAGTTGTGCACACATGGTGTCTACCTTTGCTAAACAACCATCAGCCGTGCTCTAACTAACCCCACTAGGTCTGATAGAAGTTTTATTTATGGGTAAACCACAACGGCATTGCAGTGTTTGACTGTTCTGGTTTTGTCTGAGGTAACTAGCCTGCCATTATTACTAAAATCATTCTGGCTACATTCAAATTGGGAGGTTTACTGCTCAAATCTGATTTTTGTTCTCAGATCGGATTTTTTTACATAGCTGTTCACATTGTTGTTTTAAATGTGGCTGAAATTAGATATCCAATTCAATTTCAATTCAATCTATGTTTATTTCTTTAGCGCTCTTACAATGTATATTGTCAAAGCAGCTTAATATAGAATTTATAGCCAATTAAAACTGCGTTAGACAGTTTTCAGAGTTGAAGTTCAGTTTCTTTATTTCAGTGTGGTTTTATTTTCCCTTTCGGAAGTCCAAACACTGAAGATCAAATCCATCGATGCGCAGCTCCACAAATCCCAAACCAAGCAAGCCATTGGTGACAGTGGAGAGGAACAAACTTCACCAATTGACAAAAGTGAAGGGGAAAAAAAACCTTGAGAGTGTAAACAGATCACAGTCTTAAACTGACCCACATGGCCAAACGTACAGCTACACACAAGCATAAAATTTCTAATAATGTACACAACTGTATGATTGAAGCATGTTTTGCTAGTATTTTTCAGTGCCTGAAACCTAAAATAACCATTTTGCATTGAAAACGCTGATAATTTGTCTTATGACAAGAGCGGTGCACGTCTCTCTGACCACCAGGAATTTTTTTAAAGGTTAAATGAGCAGCCTCAGTGCTGCCGGGTTCATCAGTCCTCATAATGATATTGTTTGCAGAGTCTGATAAATTACTATTCATTCATTTTAATTCATCATAAACAACATAGATCATAGGTTTCAAACGCAATTCCTGGAGGGCCGCTGCTCTGCACAAAACAGTTCATGTTAACAGTTAAAGTTTCGGTTTTATTTTGATTCATTTTCGACTGGATATGATCTATGTCACAGGTCTCAAACTCAATTCCTAAAGGGCCACAACTCTGCACAGTTTTGCTCCAACCCAATCAAACACAGCTGATCCAAATAATCCAGGTCACTAGATCAGCTGTATTTGATTAGGGTTGAAGCAAAACTGTGCAGAGTTGCAGCCCTCCAGGAATTGAGTTTGAGACCTGTAACATAGATCGTATCCAGTCCATAACTAATCAAAATAAAACCGAATCTTAAACTGTTAACATAAACTGTTTTGTTAATTTATCACTGTTTATGTGAAATATTTCATGTATGCAGTATTTTATTCATTTTACGTATGTAATTTTGTTATCGTGGTATAAATTTTCATTAAATCTAACTGAGCGGTGTATATTATGGTTGGTTAATGAGCAGCAGTTGTAGTTCTAAAAAGTCAGCAAAATTAACAACCTTTTACTACTGATCAGCCACCTGTTTGTAGTAAGAGCCGGAATGACACATCAATTGAAAACCATATAAAAATGTCATGAATTCCAGCATAACCATTTACACTGCAGTCGCATTGCGTTCAGATCTGTATCAGATTAAATACCACAAAGTGACACAAAAACTGAATTGAAAAGATTAGATTACTTGCAGTTTGGGCTGTTCTCACTGTCATGACAGAATCGAATTTGAGCCACATGTGGGCAAAGAAACCAGATTTGGGCCACATTTGCTTGCAGTGTAAAATGTACAGTCGCCTCTGTTTAGTCTGGACCAAAGTAAGTGAACTAACAGTCTTCCTGGTGGGAATTCACCCTCACTTTCTTCAGTTGAGGACGCCAGGTGAAATATTTAATTTACTAAAAACATTATCTTTCACTCCAAAAAGGAACCATAACAATTAAATCTATCTAGAGGAACTTACTTGCAATAATTCTAAAACTATTGGTGGAAGTGCTCACTTTCTGACGTATTCGCACAACAGGAACTGATATTGATTTTTATTTATGGAATGCCATTTGGGGAAATTAAATTACCTCCTACTTTAGAGCAAGATCTAAGCTGGCAAAATAAGCTGTACAGCGATTTGTATATCTGTAATTGCAGTGCATCTTATATGTATACGTCTACATTATGAGGTATGCAGCTTTGATCATGGCATCCTCCGGGCTGTCATTGTTGACTTTGTCAAAAGCAGCTCTTAATGTTCCTGTTGGCTGGCTGACATCCCTTCCAAGTTCCTAGTGACAATGTGAGCGCATCTATGAGAAAAGTTGAAGCAGTATTCTGGAAATTAGACTTAACCCGTTTAAAAGATTATTTTGACTCTCCATGATTCAGGTCTTCAAAAAATGATTGAAATGTAAACCAGTTTTTGAAAATGAGGTCATTGACTGATGAAGTTCCCTTGAAATTAGCTGTTAATCTCTGTGACTGGATCAAAGTCTGTGACTCAAGAAGTGAATTACTTTGATTCATGAATGGATTGTTCAGGCCATTCAGCTGTAAACTAAATCATCCTGATGCTTATTGATGCTTTAAAGCTTGAGAAACACCAGCCACAAAAAAGATAGATAGCCAAACACACTGTAAAATGATTTGTGTTGGGAACATGAAGGAATTAAGTTAACTTATTAGTTTTTACAAATTTAAGTCGATTGAACATAAAATCCTTAAGTTGTCCCCCAAAACACTCAAGAATTGTGTAGTTCCAGCTCATTTTAAATAAGTTGTTTGAACAAACAGCAAAGATCATTTTTTTCAAGTGAAGGTTTGAAGCAACATGAGGGTAAAGGAATAATATTGCAATTAAAATATTTATTGAGGGTCAACCAGTCCTTTAAAAGCCATCAGCATTGGGTAAACGTGTGCATTTATTTGCAAGGGCTCCTTTATTTTGTGCGTCTATTATGTAGCAGTAACAGAAACAATGGGCCTAAGACTTTAACCTTTCCTCCTCTGTAATGGGGTGTGCAGTGTTTACTGCCTGCTGGTTGGGTTGTTTTTGCCAAGTCCATTTGGAGAATGGGCAACGGAATCAATGATAAAAGCAATGTACGTGTGATGGTGTGCACACACAAACAGAAATCGTTTGGAGACCAGACCCCCGCTGAGCTATGAGCATTACTGTGGCCATTGAGTTTGCTGGTCTGAGGGACTGACCGATTCTGGGAGGAGAGTGTGTGAGATGAAGGATGGTGAGAGCAGAGGTGGCATACGAATGCCAGTGTGTGTGTGTGTGTGTGTGTGTGTGTGTGTGTGTTAGTGAGTGTGTGTGTGATAGTCACTTCAAGACCATTGAAAGCAGCTGGAGACTCAAAATGCCATGGTTTCGAGCCACAAAAGCTAAATTAATCATCCAGATCGGTTTCAAAGACACACACAAACACACACAGAGTGAAAGAGGTGACCCGAGGTGATGGATCAAACCCATTTCCTGCTGAGTGTCAATGCACTGATGTTGACACACACCCTGAGAGATCGTACTTTCTACTTAAAGGGGTAGTTCACCAAAAATAATAAAAGTAAATTCAAGTCCTCCACATCTTGTTGAAATTTTCATCTTCTGTGGATCCAAGGCCAGAGTAGTGAATGTACTGTATGTAAAATGGCGAAATGGTTATTGTTTCGTGACATTCACTTATGAATGCATCATTTAATAAGAAAAAATGATGAAGTATTCAAATGTAAATTCTGTCAATATTCCCGTGGTTTGTTTAGAACTGGCTGCAGTTTTCTGTTGCTTAAAAGTGAAATCAGAGAAATCTAATCAAAATTAAATCAGCAGGGCGAGCTTGTCGATCTGTAGCAACAGCACAAATGTTTACACGTTTACTCATCTGCCATGTTTATTCCCAAGTCTCGAGATTTTGTGAGATTTGCTGTGTTCAGATTTTGGATTTTTTTTTTTTTAAGTTTTTTAGATTTTAATATCAGTATTGTTAGTTTAAGATATCTATAAGCTAGTGTGAACTAAACAGTGACATATAAGATATAAAACTGATTTAAACATGTACAGCTTGTGGTTTGTCACTAAATGAATCAACTGTTTCATTCACGCAACCTCATACTTCAGTTTCTCATCAAATCATAACCAATCAAATTCTTTCTAGTATCTGACATGCCCTGCCGCCTTCAA